CCTTTTCTGGCTTCCAGCAGCAGCACCTGAACCTTCCTCACCAGCCCGATCTTGCACAGGCTCCTGCCCTAGTGCAAGATGATGATGGGGGATGGCTCTCCAAACCACAAGGCTTTCTTGGCCTTCAAACCTTCCACCCTCTCTCAGGAAACCTGCATGAGGAGCAGCTTCCGAGAGGTAGCCACTTTCCTTTGGACGGACCTAACTAACTACATAGCCTATGGATGCCCACTAGGAAAAGAACATCACTAGGCTACCGGGCAGGCCTGCTGTGGCCTTCCCTGCAGCTGCACAGTGGCTATTGGCAGGTCCCATACCTGGATCAGAAATCCCTGCCCAGTAGGCTTTGCGGGAGGGGAGGAGGGCAAGGGATGCATGTGGCTGGATGGGGGTGGGGATGCAGCACCAAGTGCCTTTGGCCTGGGCAGCCACTATGGATAACTGCCATCCCATCGTAGTATTGAAGCCAGCCACCCCTAATACCCCTCGGATCTCTGGGCTAGCACCGGGTCGGGTCACATGCCCGTAGGCTTGCATGGGGGCACCGGTTGTAGTTCGTTATTGGAAGAGTCTCCATAAGAAGAAAGGAAATCTGATTTCTGCAGCCACATAATATGTTCCCTCTTTCCGTGATTTCCAAACCTCCTATCTCAGGGTAAAGACATTCTGATTATTAAACATAATTAGGTAACCACTCATTCCTTACATTTGTATAGTGTGTTCTGCAGTTTACCAAGCATATCAGGAGCCAGGGTGTTATCTCTTTGAAATAGACTTCTCTGACAGCCAAGATGAAAACTAACGTGGAAGGATGAGAACGGCCTAATGAAAACCCACCGCACATGTAAGAGGAAAAATGCAAGCCAGAATGGGTGCAAAAATAGAACAAATCCTACCTACAGTGCGGAACTTCGGCAGCTAGGGTTTCTCTGAAGACACTGAGCAGTGATGGCACAGGCAACAGACCACCTCTGGAACAAAGGGCGGCGACAACCACAGGCGTCCCCCACTCTCAACCCTTGTTTGCATCTCACTGAAAAAGGATACGATTGTGCTGGAAATGTCTTTTTAGCCAGTTGTTGATGAGACTGAGTTGCGATGGAAAGAATAGAAGTCCGTGTTAAAAGAAGGAACAAGAATTTATTCAGGGATCGACAAGGCTAAAAAATACAACAAAAGTGCTCTAGTTTTCTCTAGAAAATTTGGTCCCCCAAACGACACACTACAGAACCACCAGGCCTAAGGGATTCCCGCTGGCCGGCCGGCTCAGGGGCCACGGCCGTCTAGGCCTGTCACTACCTGGTTTCACATTTCTCGTTCTTCCCAAGTAAGGTGGGCGGATGAAGACCTTTGGGGGAAAAAAAAAAAAAAAAAAAGCAGAGGATGAGCCTCCCTGTGGCGTCAGCCCGGCAGCCAAGAGAGCTCCGCGCACACCGGCTTGCATCGAAAAAATCTGGGAATTTGTTTTGTTTTGTTTTCGGATGGGGAGACGGGAAATTTTCAATTCGTGGAAGAAACCATCTTTTACTGGGCGTTGTGGCGTTTTCTTCTATCCCTCTGAACACAGGTTTCTGAAGGCTCGACAGGAATTCGACTTCAAACCTTCCAAAGAAAAGAAAGTAGTCCCCAACGTCTGGTTTCCATGTTTTACTTTAGCGAACTCCAAGGCCACGTTTGGCCGGTTTTCCCGGTGAATGTTTTTTGTTTTAAAATTTTCCTTAAAAAATATTTTCCGTAGTATCAAAAAAAAAAAAAAAAAAAAAAGCCCACGGCCCCTTTAGAAAAACATTAGCCAACCTGGGTGCCGGGATGGAGAGCGTAGGAAGCTCAGTCTCCCTCCTAGCCCCGCTCGGGGGTCAACTCTACACCCAGGCGCAGGCGGGGCAGCGAGGCAGCGGGGTCCCTGCTCAGGCCCACCACCCGCTCGCCCAGTGCGCACCGCGGCAAGAGGCTTCTGAACAGTTCCAGAGGGCTTCCCGGAGCAGACACCCAGGTTCGTCCTTTCTCCCGCGGCGCGGCGCTTCTAGCCAAGCTAAAGGGCCGCGCGGCAGCGGGGCTCCGACCTGCAATCGAGGGCCAAGGGGTCTGCGCCGCCAGCGCTCCGCTCTACTTCGACCCCAGGCGCTTTTGCTCCACGGTGAAGTTTTGGCTCCAGGTGTCCGGCCCAGGCTTGGAGGCTTGGGGAGGAGACAAGTCAAACGAGCGCGCGGAGAGGCGGCCTGCAGGCCCCGGGAACCCCAGGACAGAGCGCCAAGAGGAAAGCCCGGGAGGCAAAGCAGTGAGGACAAAGAGGAGAGGGACAAGAGCTAAGGGGTCGAGGAGGCGCCCAGGAGCACTGGGCGCTGTCTCCAGCGGCGGCCACCGCGGGCACGTGGTTCAGTTCGCTGTGGTGGCTGCGACCCAGGCCCGCGTCTTGCGCCCCTGCGCGCGTCCTCGCTTCCATCCGTGCCGAGGTGCCCTGGGATCTTAGAGATCCAGGCGCGAGTGCAGAGCGCCGGCCTTGCTGTCGTGGTCCCAGTAAGAGCAATGCATCATGGCGAGCTCGGG